CAGGTACGAGATTCCAGCAGCTTCTGCAAGAGCGGAAAGAAAAAGCCCAACCCAACTTCAAGGTTTCCTTCTCCGAATCCCCTCCTGCAGCCGTCTTTTATTAACAGAACATAACACATGGTTACAAAACAGTATTTGTTCTGACAGAACAATTGATCAGTTCATAAAGACAAGATGCTCCATCAGAATGACAAGGCAGGATGGTCTCCTGACTGCATCACAAGACAGTGCAGCATCCCTCTTGCACAAATGATTCATAAGCACACATTCATTTTATAATCATCACTGAATAAACCTGACATTAGACTTTTTATATTATATTCCTCCTGCAATTTTATCCACTAATTGAAATGTCTTTAAATCCACATTAACATGAATTCAACACACAGTAGTTAACAGATAAATGGAGGCAGATGTCTTTCAGTCATCAATGCAACATTCAGGACCTCTTTCAAGCTGGGCACCGTTTCATTCACAACACCTGTCCCATCAACCAGGAAGCAGAAATACTTTAATAATCCCAGAGAGAAGTTACTTTTATTACACCAATTTTATTACATCTAACCATCAGTTTTACTGCAAAAACGATCTAGAAATAAGTAAAAAAAAATTTGTAAATTAAGTGTATTTACCCTTAATTTGAGTAGGTAAATAAGATGATTTGCCAATGAAATTAGTATCTTTAGTCTTAAAATAAGATAATTAAAAAATATGAACTTGAAATAAGACAATGCAATAGTTTTTTTTCTTATTTTAAATGTAAATTGCCTTGTTCCATTGGCAAAGTGGCTCACTTTCATCCTCAATTCGAGAAAAAACGCACTTATTTTAAGAAAAAAATGACTTACTTAGATTTCCATTTTTTGCAGTGTTGGGGTCCTTGGCCTAGAAAAGGTTAAAGATCCTGGTTTGAGTTGTACCTGCTTGCAATGATTGAAAATATCGCACGGCTTAGGTCATCCGGGAGATTATTAGAGAATTTAACAATTTAAACAATTAAGTCAGATTTTTCTTTTGTTGTATTTATCAACTGGGAGCTTTTATTCACCAAAATAAAAAAGAAATAAATTTCCTGAAGCTGATCCCTTTGTGTGTTAATAATCTATATAATCTGAGTTTGATTTTTGAACTGAAATGGATCTTGCAGCTCAGTCCCTTCATGGAGTAAATCTATATCAGTGAAACATCTCAGGTTAGATCTTCAGCAGACTTTCTCCTCCTCTTCCTCTCTCCAGGTCCCACGTGGCTCTCCACCAACCTCGGGATCCTGATCTGCATCGAGTGCTCTGGGATCCACCGGGAGATGGGGGTTCATTACTCCAGGATCCAGAGCCTGGAGTTGGATGTTCTGGGGACGTCTGAGCTGCTGGTGAGTCCATCTGAGGACCAGGAGGTTTTTACTTCAGTAGTTTTCTTCATGTGATCTTCTGAGTTTTCCTTCAGGCTGGAGCTGCTTCTCACTCAGTTTCTCCTCCTAAACTTTTTTCAGACAAATGTTTTCTGTCTTTGAACTCATACCAGGTTATTCGTTTCCAGGGTAAGTGGTAATGCGTCTTAAACATCCCACTCTGCTTTGCAGAATTCATGTAATTCGGACACTTCAGAGACTTTTCTAGCTT